CAAAAGGTAAACTGCAGTGTGATGTACTGTTGTTGGGTTTGTTAGTGTAAATTTTGTTCGTGAGTTGAGTTTTATTGTGGGGAATGTTGGAGAGTTTTTCAACTATAGCTGGTGGGAATTTATTGGTGTGAATAAAGGAATGCTTTAAGTGGTTAATGTCTTCATTTATGTAGTCCGTTGAACAGAGTCTTGTGGCTCTGTTTATGAGGTTTTTAAGTGTATTGATTTTTTTTGTGGTGTCATGAGCGGAATTCCATGGGATGTAGAGACCAGTGTGTGTGTTTTTGAATATTCTTCATGTTGTTATTTTCAAAAGTTATATTTACATATATTCTTCGTTTTCTTATTTTTTTCAAAATTTATATTTAAATATATTATTCGTGTTGTTATTTTCAAATAATAATTTTTATTGTTATGTTTAGAAAAATTTCACTTAAATATATCCTTGTTGTCATTTAAAAAAAAACTGTCCTTTAAAAATATTTCTATCAAAAAATATATTTCTCGTTATCGTTTTCAAACGTTTTTCATAAACAAAAGTTCTCTTTATTTCAGTTTTCAAATAATTTATTTTTTTCTCTAAAACAAACAAACAAACTCAAAATTCATCTACCCCACATCTTTTCAGAGAGCTTTCATTTAAAATATGTTTTACTTGTTTTAAAGGGTAGAGTGCCTTAGCTGAAGGAGAATGATATTAAGTAGTAATATGCGTATGATATAATAGCAGAATAAGAGTAATAGTAACTTCAATCATATATTTCTTTGCAGGCCTATAACATATTTTCAATAAGAAGAACGCATAATAACATTTCAAGTAAACTCCGCTTATTGTATACGGTATTAAAGAAATTGGGTCTGGCATGGTTAGTTGGTTAGGGTGCTCGACTCACAATCTTTTAGCAGAGGGGAGCGTTAAAATGTGACGGTCAACCCCACTTTTCGTTGGTAAAAGAGTAACCTAAAAGTTGACGGTTAGTGTTGTTGACTAGTTGCCTTCCCTTTAGTCTATCACTTCTAAATTAGGGATGGCCAACGCAGATAGCCCTCTAGTAGTTTTGCGCGAAATTCCACTCGACAAAAAATAAATCAACTAAACTAGTTTAACTAACTTTGATACTAACTCGGAGTACGCGTTTCTAGTGTTTCGTAGCACGTGACCTAGGGACGTTCAAGCTTTCGGGAAACATCGTTCCATGCCAAATCTCGTTATTCAAGTCTTCAACGCACGGCACGCTTCTCTCGAATTTTTTTTTCTTTAAGTTATGATAACGGGAATTATATTTAATCCGGAAGTGAATAAAGACATTTTCCTGAAACCAGTTTGTGTACGATGTTATGATTTTTTTTAGTTCTCTTGGCGCCATCAGCTAC